ATTAGTTTCTCAGCGAACTAGTGTGAACTCGAACATTCCAGCTTTTCACGCATGTCAAGTGACTGCCCTCACCCCACCCCCTAGACTGGCTACACTCCCCTGGCTCGGAGTTACCCTAGCTTTCTGGAAAACTGCATCATGATGCCCCCTAACTGGATAGACCCCCCACATATGTTTGAGGGGTCATTCACCAGTTGAGCTGCTTTCTTTCTCACATGCCTTGTAGGTATTTGTCTGTTCTCGCTATTTGACTCGATTTATTTGAAGCTCACTGCATTCTACTAATTATTGTCGGTTCCTTTTATCTTGTTTTTCATAGAATGACCTAGGTGGTTTTTCTGTGGAAATATTACGAAAGAAGAAGGGACTAATCCGATGTGTTTTCAGATGGATCTCCCTGATCCATATCTACCGGGTGCCATCAGTTTATTTGAGCAACTGGACAAAAAACTCGTTGTGGTTCTTCGTGATGGAAGGAAGTTGATCGGATATCTAAAGTCCATAGATCAATTCGCTAATCTGATACTCGAAGATGTGGTGGAACGCACTTTTGTTGACAAGTATTACTGTGACATTAATCAAGGATTTCTTTTGATACGTGGGGAAAACGTCGAAATCGCTGGAGAGATCGACGAGTCCATCCCAATGATTCACCAACAGGTTCGTGGTGCACATTTTTCGCTTGTTTCATCTTAATTCATTTTTATTTATCTATTTCATTTTTTATTTATCTTATTTCATTTCTTTTCTTGAGATTTGGATCCGCTAAAGTGCAAAAGTGTCGCTGTGGCGCATGCAGTTCGCCCTTCTTTTTGATACTTTCGCGTCAATGACTGCTGTCCAAATAGAAGTGTAGCAGTCCCCACTAGTCTCGCATCGGACCATTCCTTCTGCGTAAAATATCTTGTGTGAGCGCTCCAGCGTTTGAGCGATTGTTTGAGTGGGGCTTGTAATGACACTGAAGAAACTGGAAACTGTAAACACTAACCAACTGTAGACACTGGAGAAGCTTTATCCGCAGTAATTCCTGATTCTCAGGAAGGGGCTGCTGTGCAGTTTTCGCAGAAGTTATAGCGTTGTTCTTCCGATTCGTCGCGTTGCCTATACAT